AAATGTAACTTTTTAAAATGTAGATCAAGTAAACATGCCAATATGCTGACATCTGTAATAGAATTCCAATAATGATACATGCTATCATACAATACTTTATTAACCTTCTCAAGCATTCTAATTGTAATTATTAAAACTAAAATATTGATTGTTTTGTATATGATTTCTAATGAAGTGTCAATTTCTTTAACTTTAACAATATCTTTTGTATCATTTATAATTTCTTTTACAGAATTAAGAATTGTTAATTCACTCATATCTGTTAAAGCTGATTAAATATAAGATTGTTGTAATAATATTTTCAAAGTTTTTACTAATATTGAAATAACTAGATATATTAACGAAATTGCTACATAAGTATTTCTACTTAGTAATGCTGTTATTTCTTCAAAACTACACAATATTTCATTTAATTCATCTAAAAAATCTATTCATTAACAGTAAGCATAATACATATTAATCATTTAATATTCTTTTGAACAGATGCATTTTTATTTAATTGAAGTAGTAATAGAAGGTATATTTTTATTCTTTTTAAATAATAAATTCTATTATGTAAATATTTTTTAAACCCAAGGTCTCTTTGTGCGGTAAGAAAATATTTGGTTTGCTTAGGTAAATTATTAAAAAAATAAATTAATTGTTTTATATGTAAAACCAAATACTTAATCACATTTAACTCTTTTCTAACAGACAATTGAAGCACATAAACTATGTAAAGAATTCTATCAAGTTCTAATAGTCAGGCAGCCTTTTTTATATTTGACCTATTGTAAATAGTTATCACTATTATTTTGTTAAATTATCCAACAGATTAGCAATAACTTTACCCATGTGGGGGTATAAAACATGTTGTAAAATAAGTAGTGCTTCTTTGAATTTTCAAGAATCAGAAATCCAAGCACACATGATTCTAATATATTCCTGATTACAACAACTTGTCCAAAAATCTATCATTATAGACACAGCAACACTCTCCTTTTCTATTAAGCTGATTAATTTTTTTTACATCAAGAAAATGATTTGCTAACAGAAGTTTTTACAATTTTATTACAGGAAATTAAAAAATTTTATCAAGCAAATGCAGTAATTTTGAAAACTTTTACATTTTACTATATTAAATGGCTATGAGTCATCGATAATAAATAAAATTAAATTCTGCTATATCAATTCATACTCATCCTCAGTTTTATTAAATTGATTTTTAATAGATCAGCAAGAATTATTTTTCAATATCCTATGCTGGCAAGCGAGATGGTTAATCAAATTTGAAGTTGTTGAGCCATCATTATATAATACACTACATTTCTTTCTATTATCCAATATAACTTTACAGGTCATAGTCACACCATTTTTATCCTTGTCAAAGTAGTCCCAGACGAAGCTTTTAGAGTGACCTTTAGACTGATTAGTAGTTTTACTTTTTTCATACAATTCTTCGTATTCACTATGTTCACTGTCACTTTCATTTTGTGCCATATTTGTATGGATAAATTGCAAGAGTTATTATTAAAATTTGCGATTGCAATACTTTATTAAAATCTTGTATGTAGAATTACATATATCATGTTATTTATTTATTTTTTTATTTTTAATAGATCGTGTTATTAAACTTCACAAAATTACATACGTATTATGTAATTATTAAAACATTATTAATGCTCATTAAATTACGTAATTAATTAATTTGCGAATAACTCACGAGTTAAACTTTCATGATTCGAAGAGTGATAAATTCGAATCACTCGAGTCACGAGTTGACGAGTCCAGTCCCTAATCGATTTATTGGTTCAATAGATAACCAATTTAAAATGGATTTCTCAAATAAAATGGTTCTCG